CTTGTATAAATCATTATCGGCTTCATTTTTTCGAAAATTCAAAAAAATTTTCCGAAATCGGTAAAACGAAAACGGATAATATTCTGGATATTTAAAAAAATATATTTTCAGAGCGAATTTCTGGAAAATTTTGAACCGGGACTATCAAAGCCTTATGTTTTCCCGTCAGTTCATCAACACGTATTTTTCAGAATTTTTTGAGGATTTTTAGTTAATTTTATTATAAATTTTTTCACCGCTTTTCGAGCATCCTTCGAAAATTACCCCGAAACACAATTAGTTCATAGATCTTATTTTAGCAAATGGTTTATTAGTGAATGTTTTAATAAGTTGCGTAGATACAAATAAGAAAATAAAAAATTGTGCCAATAAAAAGTATATAAATATATTTAGTTAGAACTACACATAGCAAAAGAAAAATATTAAATATCTATTTATTTTTTTCGTAATAAAAACTAATAATAATCAATAATATTGTGTCTATCTATCCCCAAAAATTCACGCTTCGATTTCAAAATTTTCTGTAATCAAACCAGGGAATTTTGACTATTGTTCAAGTGTTTAAATTGATTATGGGAACCCGTAGTGATGAGGCGGAGTAGTCTAATAGCCCTCACTTCTGAGTATAGACAATATTTTTGTACGCGATAGCAGCAGTTTTAACCGTTTATCCAATTTCAAAAATTTTCAGAATCGATAAAATTAAATCCACAATTTTCGAGACATTAAAAAAATCATTTCCAAATCAAATTGTTGAAAATCTTGGTTGAGGACCGTCAACGCTTTAGGCTTTTAGAATCAGATCACCAAAATCTCTGTCCCAGATTTTTTTTACGTTTATCAGACAACTGGTCAACACTTTCAATTTTTCAATGACCGTTGAACAGAAGTTTTGACCGAAGTTCCAACATTTTTTCTAGAATCGATAAAATTAAAAGGGACAGTTTTCAAGATATTTCAAAAATTCCAGTTTCAAACAAAATTTTTGAAAATTTCATCAAAATGTATTTCTCAGAATTTTTAGGGAATTGTTGAACAAACTCAATTTTTCAATGTTCGTTGAAATGACTTTTTGACCGTTTAACAAACATCCTTTGAACATTGCTTAAAAACATTTTCTTGTAGATTTCGACTTGTTAAAGCTATTTTCGGCTTCATTTCTTCAAAAATTCCAACAATTTTTCAAGAACTAATAAAATGAAATAGGAAAATTTTTAATGACGGTTGAATTACATTTTTAACGTTAATCAAGCATCCTTTGAAAATTATCGAAAGACATTTTTTTGTAAATTTCGACTTGTAGAAGTTATTTTTGGCTCCATTTCTTCGAAAATTCCAAAAAAAATTCCACATTCTTTCAAAATTCTTGAATGAGGACCGTCAAAGGCTTACGTTTTGTCGTCGGCTCATCAACACGTATTGTCCAGAAATTTTTAATGTGTCATTTTTAACATAATTCAATACACAGTACAACAAATTGCATAATTTAATATTTAAATAAATATAAATGAACAAACAAATAAATAAATAACAAATAAATATTCATTTGCAACTACCATTCCATTTACAGGACCGGTATGAAATACTGTATGCATAGCGGACATTTACCTAGTTAAACTTTTAAGACTTAAGACAAACCACTCTTATAAATCAGATAAATTGTCAGGTACACTTTTTTAGAAAAGTAAAAAATATTGAGATAGTCTTAGACTTTTGCAAAACGATAATCATTAAGAAAAATTTTGCTAACATTTTTACATTGTTAATTTTAGTACTTTATGGTATTAACAATAAGTAGAGTGACGCGTTTCCTTCTACGACGAGTGAATCACACAGAGAGCCGCAATTCTCTGCACTTGCGGTCATTGCGGTGTTATATCGAGTGACGCAATTCCTTTTACAACACGAAAAATCGAGCGTGCAATAGAATTAGAAAATTTTTAATTTCCAATAATCCGCTTAAAATTGCAAACATTTTTGATTAGAATCCATCAAAATGTAGCCCTCATTGAATTACGCCGCATACATGATCCACGCCGGAACGTTCTCTATAATGAAACTCGTCTCATCACTAGAGTCCTTTGTACTAGACGGTATCTGAGGGTTTAAAGTAATTAATAGAGCCCATCACGTTAAACCTATTAAAAGTACTTCATTCCGAGTTTAATCATATCATAAATGAGCCGTACATTTTAAGAGCGGAAGTTGGCGTCATCGCCATGGATGCACGTAACCGCATAAAATAAATGGCTTCATTTGCAGAAAAATCACGCTATTTTGAAAAAATAATACGAACGGGGCCCCACAGAGCAATAGTCGCAGGGAGTGTCCCCGCTCCTAAAATATGACTGCCCTAACCCCATTAATTTAGGTGGTAATTAGAATATCATTAACTATGGTCCATGAATATTGAGCAGCAAACTGGTAACTGCTACTTACTCCGGTTTAATGCAACTGAGCTCGGGCTATTTCCCACAGCACGAATAAAACCCCATAGAAAATGTTCCGGGCGTCCGGAAGGACGCCATAATTTCTAATGGGCTAATCGAAACATCCTCTATTTGAGCGGCCTCTGCCAGGTCGTAGTTTGGCTAATTGTAGATAGTTTCGGGCTGAAATCCTGCTAAATTATTTCTTTAGTGGAACCCTGTAACCGTTGTTTCGACTTGATAAAATTATGAAACCTAAACTCTACAATTTATTTATTTAGTATCGAAAAATAATTTGTCACGTATCTGATGAACACTTAATTATACGGAAAGCGATCTAAATTCAATGATAAACAATTCTAGTAAGTAATCACGTTTTATGTTAGATCAACAACGAATTGTAGACTCTCACGATTTATACATACAGACAGAGCATTATCAAATCAAGTCGAAGTTACGAGAAAGTATTTAAATTTAAAATTAGATGCAAACAAGACCAATTTATTTGCACAATTACGTCTGAACCGTTTCAAAACAATAAAATTTTAGACATACAAAGAACAAGTAATATCAGAAATTAGCTTTTTAATAAAATTATTTATTTAATTATTTTAAAACTTATTTACACGTTTCTTGGTCCAAAATGATGGTGGCTGCATAGCTAACAATGTTACACAAAATAATCATTTTGTATAATAATTCATGGCAGCGTCGTTTCATAACCTCCGACAAAAGCTGTTTTCTATTACGATGCAACTTTGACAAAGTTAGCGAACAACGAAACATTATCTTGGTAAAATGCAGCCTCGTGTCCTCATATGCGAGTCCTAATTATTCTGTTGCAACACAGTGAAATGAGATATGACGTCACGGTCATTCGTTTTACAATTTTAATTAACATTTCAACTTCAAAAGTGTTCTACCTGCATTATAAATAATATTTTGTCTTTTATTCAAAAACATACCCAGCCAATTCATTTTGATTTAAAAAGCACGAACATGCACATTCCCCGCATATGAGAAGTTACTAGCATTCCAAAGTGTTTACTTACAGTTTTACAACTTATATTTCAGTTTTGCGAAAGTCTTAAGGCCGATATTACGTGCATGCAGCCGTAAAAATAAATTACGAAAAATGCGAGTTTAAAGGAACAGGAAGGTGAGGAGGATTAGGTCAGGAAGAAAAATCGAAAGCGGGAGTTGCTTTCTACTCGACATCATTCTGCGCTCCTTCTTTGATCTCAAAAACATTAATAAGTGCAGGGGTGGAATTAAAGTTGTGCTTGGGGATGACTCATGTTATTCGATAAATTGAACGCGCAGTTCCACCCCGTGTAACGTTTAATTAACAATTTAACTAAGCGACGTGTTTACAAAACGTGCCTTTGGGTTTTGGGTGAGGTACTAACTAATAAGGGGTTATGGGGCGGATTTACGCGTTTGGAAGTGAGGGAGTCCGGCTCTGGTCAAAGTTGCGAATTTGTTATTTTTACTTCATTGTCATAAGCTAGAGTCCAATTGGCGAATGACTAATTCCATGTTTTCTAAGTTGTTGCATTAATCCTAGAGTATGAACAAGTAGGTCTCTCATTTCCATATGTGTCGTTGGTGGCTTGATGACATCATTACAGTATTTTTTTAAATAAACCCTGTAAGGACAAAATATAAACACATGCGTTTTCGTAACATAATACCTTTGAATGAAAAGTGATGTGGTGTGGGTAAATAAAGTATAATGAATAGAGAGCGGATTTTATGAAATTTGCATATCCGTTATTTTATGCATATAAGTCTTGATATTTAATATGTGAACGAATCATGCTAAATAAAAATGAATACAGCTATAAAAAAATTGCATATTTGCATATATTTGCTTTCTGCTGCATATTTCACGCAACGAGTGCATATTTTGCATTTTTATCAGTTTTTGTGCCAATTTGAAAAAAAAAGATTGTCATTCTATCGGCATTTATTTAGAAAGACGAAATTTCATTAATCATATTGCAAATATTGTCCTGAGCTTCAAATAACTAGTAAAGGTTTGGGTTTTATGGTACTTTGGAGAAACCATTGCGTCTTAAGCCATTCTTCCAGGTAACTTCGGGCCCTAATTACTTTGGAAATACCGTTCATTCTCAATAGTTTTGTTCGTTACTTAAGAAGTTTATTAATTAATGGTAGGTTTTATGGTGGTCGATGGGACGTTATCCTCTTGTTTTTCATCGCGAGTTTGCTTTGAAAGCATTTGAAGCGATACAGGTGTGTCAATATGTCGAAGATAACTCAAATTAATTTACGGATTAAACCTTTTCCTGAACGTATTCTTCAAGAGGAAACTCTGTTCTGTCGCGCCTGCTCTAAACCGGTAAGGATTTTTACATTTGTAGACGTAGTATGCAGTTTTCCTATTTACAAATACAAACTTTATTTTTAAAAATTTTGTAATTTTTTTTTTATATATTTTTGTTAATTTTTTTTTTTTTGGTTTTTTTATATATATTTTTTTGTTTTTTTAATATTTTTTTTGTTTTTTTTTATATTTTTTTTAAATTTTTTTAATGCTTTTTAGCAACCAGGCTTATGAGGTAACCTTCACGCCTCTGGGATGCTCGGGAGCCAGACACGTATCTCCAGATGGTCAAATGAGCGGCCGCGGAAACAGGAGATAAAATAAAACAGGGGAAAATTAATAATAAATCCAGTTTTTATTCCCTGCCACCAGTTACACAGCTAAAATAATCCACGGCTAAATTTAAGAAAAACAAATAACAATTCGGTTAACAACAAAAGACAGAAAGAATAAAACGTCCAGGACGGTCGTTTCCTGCAGGACGGCGACTTCCTTCAGGACGGGCTCCTCTTGGACCTTGGAACAAAATCGCGCTGGGACGGAAAGGGGGGCCAGGGGGGGCTAGCGGAGACGAAAAACGACGCGTGTTCAACGGTTTCTCAGTTTCTCCACATCTCCAACATTTGACAGAAGTTGCGGTCTTGAAGGTGGCACCTGTAGACAGCCGCACGGTTCCGGGGAACTCTTCGACGAAGTCATCCCAGGGGTACCAGAGAGCTCGGTTGTTTCGGTACCATTCCAACGCCTTATCCGTGAGCATTTCCGGCAGCACGCTGAGCATCTTGTCCGGCGGAAAAATGCTCCAGAAACGTCCTGGGTACGGCTTTTGCGCACCAGGTCCACTCCATCCCGCCGGGTGTCCCGCGGGTGTGCATAGCACGACTGGACCGACTGGCGACTCAGACAGGGCAGTATCGGTACCGGTCGTGGCACAAGAGGCTTCTCTTCGGCGGTTGGTTTGTCTAGGGGAACAACGGGGCGGTAGGAATAAGTTCCAACGTGGCGGCGGGTCATCACAGGGCACCTGGAGGCTTGACACGGAACGGCACCCGTAGCGCTAGTGGCGACTCCCCATGGAAATGGTGCCCACATCGCCGGTCTCGAAATCACGGGCGTGGCCACATTAGGCCTGGATAGCAGAAGGTTCCAGGTCAGCTATTTCTCTGCAGCCGAATTTATCACCACGCACCCGATGGTCGACGTCGGTATGGGGGCTGTGGGTGTCGACACAATGACGGTGTCCACGATCTCATCGGTGACATTCAGAGAGACGTGGTCAAGTCCTCCAAGTCCATCCAGTGGCCTCGATTCCATTCCAGCTCGTAATGCTGCAGCTGGTGTAGTTAGGTACAGCGTCCTCGTTGGGGTGTTATGTAGAATTATGCCCTGACGGCATGTGGAGACTGTGCCTTACCCAATTTTCCTGACTTTTTGGAAATAATAATAAGTTTATTACGCCAAAAAAAAGGCAATACATAATTAGTTAAAAAAAACAAAAACAAATTATACAAATAACAATTTACGGCATTCTCTCTTGAATCTATTAAATGAAACACCAAAAAATTCTAGGTTCTTACAGTATTGGTTAGCAAGTAAAATCATACTGCTCAAGCGAGAATGAAGCGCATAATTCCTTCGATGATAAGGTACAAAAAACACATAAGGGGAACGGACAGTTTGAACAGGTATATTAAAATAAATCATAGATAATAAATCGGGCGCATCTACTAAACCATTTACTAACTTAAAGATAAAACACAATTTGTGATAAATTCGACGATTTTCTAAACTACTAATTGATACATAACTAGCAACCAGCTGAGTATTCTCTAAAATAATGTTTTTAAAGCGAGCCTATATATTAAATATTTAAGAAAATTGTTCAAAACGCCTGATGTGGGAAGAATAAAACGGTGACCAAATACAAGGATCTTACGAGAGAACTAAATAATATGACTAATACACGTATATCATTGAAATCAGACCACCTTTTAACACAACCTAACATTAGAAATTATTGTATCATAGTGACAATGAAAACTTAACTTAGCATCTAGTGAAACACCCAAATCTTTAATTTCATTGACCACAGACAGTGCAGTACCACATAAAATATAAGAACACGGAGATGAAGCAAATTTCCTGCTAAAACATATAACCTGACATTTATCTAAATTGAGTGACATATTGCACCATTCTTCAATTTTAGTTATATCGGATTGTAGGACAACAGTATCAGTGAGTGTGCGTATGCTCTTAAACAATTTTAGGTCATCAGCGTAGAGAAGCGTATCCGATGTAATATTCGAAGCAATATCGTTAATGAAGATATTGAACAGAAGTGGGCCAATGACTGAACCTTGCGGAACACCTGAAGTAACTAGATATTCATTTGAACTGACTCCGTTCAAATGTACACATTGATAACGGTCTAATAAATATGTTTTAAGCCATGACAGAAGAGGATCACGAAGTCCGTACAAATATATATTTTTTAAAAGTATAAAATGATTGACAGTGTCAAATGCCTTTCCAAAGTCAGTGTAAACAGCATGAACATCTAAGTTATTTTCAAAGGCATCGAAAATATAATTAACAAAAGTAAAAAGATTGGTTAAAGTTGATCGTTTTGAAAAAAATAAATTTCTCAAACATTTGAGCAGTTACAATGCTCTCAAAAATTTTTGACGGAGTACACAGCAAACTTATAGGTCTATAATTTTTTATTTCAACCTTTAAACCTGTTTTAAAAATAGGAATGATAAATGCTGATTTCCAGATAGTCGGAAACTTGCCAGAATTAGTAGATCGATTATATAATCGGCAAAGGGGATCAGCCAGAGATTTGCTGCATGTCTTAAAAAAAGATTGTGGGAGTCCATCAGGTCCTGAACAGTTTTTGTTTTCAAGGCTTTCTAACGCACTGAGAACGGAGGAGCTCTCAATTACGACATTGTTTAAATCAACAGGTTGATCTACATGAAAGTTGATATTGTCAAAATTGATGTTCTTATTACTAGTAAATACTGAGGAAAAATGTGTAGCAAAGCACTCAACGATTTTCTCAGCACCACACACTTGCATGTTGTCGTAAATCATATTTAAAGGAAGCTTACTGCATGTGCTAGATTTACTTTTAACAAAACTAACAGCAGCTTTACAATCATTTCTAAGTTGGGAGAAAATTAAGTAATCATCAAAGCGTTTGCTGATTTTATAGCGCTTATGAGCAGCTCGCTTTAAATTAATTAAATTTCGGACTTCCTGGGAAAACCACACAGGAAAGCGCTTCTTACATTTGTTTTTAAGAGGAACAAATCTATCACAGGCATAAAATAAATGCGTGTAAAAAATAGAAACAGCAACATCAATATCACAACAATTATCAATACAATTCCAGTTAACTGATAACAAGTACTCATTGATTGCATTGTAACTACCATTCTTAAAGTCTAGATATGTATCACAGAAATCATCTAAAAAAATATCACAGTCGTAAATAGTAAACTTAAAAGGACGGTGGAATAAGTCTTCTTTGGTTAATGCAACACAGCCCTTTATGATTAAGTTATCACAGTTCGAAAAACAAAGATCAAGTACATTATTAGAACAATTGACAAAATAGTTAAATTGAGACAGATCGAAGGAATAAAATTTATCACAAATTAAGAAGTCTTTTTCTGACTTGACATTGACAGGTACATACATATTAGTGTCAATGTCCTGAATCCACCTAACATTACATAAGTTATAATCACCTAAAATAAATACAGTGGAGTCAGCGTAGTCATATACATTTTTTTTTCACATTTTGTACATGGATAGAATAAGCATCAATGTTAGATTCTGGCGGAAAATACACAGCACAAAAAATGTACCTTTTGTTAACAAGTTGAACAGAAACCCACAACTCTTCAATATTGGCGGTAATTCTTAATACACTCGGTGCAAGACAACTTTTAACCGCAATCATAACACCACCTCCAGATTTTTTAACACTGTTACCAGAATTCCTGTCATTACGAAACACTACGTACCTATCATCAAGCACTTCTAAATCAGAAATAGCTGGAGTCAACCATGTTTCGACAAACACAAGAACGTCATAATTTTCACAAGCACAAGACAAATAACAATCTTTGAGCTTGGTGCGGAGGCCGCGAACGTTTTGATAATAAACGCTAATTTCTCTTACGTATTGGAGTTACCTCCTCTGAGTTTAAAAAATTTGGGGATTTATTCAAAGATGGGATTGCCTTCGAACTAGATTGTTGACATAGCGAGGAAGGAACATTAGGAGCTTGATTTTCAATACTAGGAGGCGCGGCTTTGGTTTTTGATGGCAGGAATTTCCTGACTAACGCTCCTTTGGGCCACGAATCACCATTGAGAATATTGTCAGATTCAGATTGACAAATTTTTAGTTTAAAAGATTTATAGTGCTCATCAGATCTTAATAAAGTACATTTTGTATAGCTAATATTAAGTTCACTATGTATGTAATCTTCAACGGCATCAACATTCATTGCTGGATCTATAATACGACCCAAATAATAGAAATGTTTTTTTTCAATAGTGCGTAGAGAAGAATTTGATTTCTTACCAGTAATAAAACGTAATTTTCCATTAAATAATAACCATAAATTTAGAATCACGTTTATTTATAGATTCGTTTATCCCCACATAATAATGATAATAATAATAATTGATGACGGAATTTGATTAAAGCAAACAAATTTAAAATACAATTTAATTTATTCCGCAAATGTATGCAAAACACTAAAAATTAGAAAGGTTATCACAAAACATTTAAAATATAGCTGCTTTAGGAAAGTTAATTAAATTAGCCGCACATGGACGTCAGTTAAAATTTTAAATGCAAATTTAGAACTATCATGAATACTTGAATCTCCAACGTCAAAATCCGGCTGAATCAGGCTTTTAACAAAAAACTAATGGACTAGAAGTAAAGGTCAAACTTCAAATTTACGTTAATATATTGTTATAGGAACGAGTGGCGTTTCAGCTGAAACAGATAGAATCTCTGAAAAGATGTAAATCACAAATGCAGTTTCAAAGGACTGATTTACCTATAAATTTCAGGACAGTCGTTCTAGTTCATCCCAACAAATCGTACGTGCAAGAAAAAGCTTCCTTTAGTATTTTCGTATCTAGATTTTTTTTTAATTACACTATTGTTTCTCCTAAAACTACAAGAGGTTTAAAATTCTATATGTATGTAAACTTTCAGTTTACAATAAATAGTTGTAAAGAATCGTGAGGAAATAAACTCGAATTGGCGAAAGCCCTGAAAAAATATTAACCAAACAAGGCGCATTAATTTTCTAGACTCCGAGACTACTCGCAAAGAAACTCGGAAAGCAGCTCACGTGCCCAATTTGTCAGTGTTCTACAAGCAAAGAAATTGAACTTATTAATTTTTATCTTGCCGTTTGTCTGATCCGAAGATTTTTTGTTCCAACAAAAACAAACTTCTGAGCGAAATTCCGAAAGCCATTAAACCATCCCATTTAATCCTTCGTCCATAAATTGCCACCAACATGCTGCACCTTATATTTGCCTGATTTACTTTAGTGCCACATTAGTTTAACTGCAGGCAACCGCCTCAACCAGCATTAACTTTGTTGTGTGCCCTTATTCCGCTGCATTATAGCCTATAATTGGATAATTACTATTTTACACAAAGCGCCGGAGCGAAGTTGACACACGGTATGGCAGCACACGAATTTACTTCTTCATTCAAAAAGTTTCTAGTCTAGATGAAAGGGACGTAAAGCTTCACGGAACGCGAAATCAATGTTTCAATTGAATTTAGCCGAGTACAATTCCAATACCCAGTACAGACTCTTTAATTCCTAATAAGTTCCGACTCAACTCAGCTGTAAATCTCGGCCGCAGCTAAAATTATCACAAAACTTTTTAAAAAATAAAGAAGCTATCTTGGGTTCCACGCAAGATCTAGTTTCCGCTTATAATTGTTTCAGCAGTTCACATTCTTCGAAACAAGACAATTTCATTTGGACGTAAGTTTGGTTTGTTTTAAGTGAACCTGAAACTTTAATGAGATTTAGAATCTGAAATGTGAAATATTCAGATTGTAAATGCCCGTTTAGGACGAGTGTTGCTCCCGGAAGTTGACATTGCGAATAATAATTAGAACCGTATCATTAAATGGCATTCAGACGATGTTATTAGAATTCGGATCTAAACAAGAGTGTTGACACTCCGGAGTAACTTTATCCGCTTAGATTATTTAGGAAAATTAACAACGATTGTAACAAAATGCTGGGGCGTTTGGCAAGCAA